GGGAAAGAGAAAATCTTTTAGCCGTGAATAAATAACATAGTCCATCTGCAAACTCGAAAGAGAACTCCATTTACTTATTCAATCTATTTCACCCAGTAAAAGCAGTAAACACTGCTGAGAACTCAGGCTTATTTTCCTAAATATGGTAATTGCTCCAAGTCAGCCTTTTTTTTTTTTTTTTTAATCTCCCCCCATTAACTAAAATTCAGATTTAATAGGATTTCAGCTGGATTCACTGTGTCTTGCTTGCCTCAGTGTTAATTATGCTTTGGAGCGGTCTCACCTGTGAAATGTGGCACTGATATATACACATATGTATGTGATAACTTACTCCTTGTGATGGTGCAATGTGGCAGCTCCTGATTTATTTCAAACTCAATGCGAGCTTGCTCTGAAATGAGTTTGTTCGTATTAATTACACTGGGGCCCTGCTGAGATTTTTAACAAGATTATGCTTTCCAAGTGTCGCCGCTTGGCTTCTCCTCCTCCCTTTTGGAACCTGTTGGGCGCAGAGGGACTCTTGCTCCCTGCGATGTTGGCGAGCAGGAGTCAGGAGTGTGCTGGCACAGAGGACCAAGAGGAGCATCCAAGGAGCATCTCTGATGCAGGCCCAGCAGGACCCTCCTGGAGTGATGCTTGGTCTGGTGCAAACCAAAGGCTCTGAGGAAGCATCATTGGCTCTTCTTGGACAGCTACAGGTTTAGGAGAAAGCCTGGATCTGCGAGACACCCTTCCCTGTTCTTTAACCTGTTCTTGCTGGCTTCTTGGTAGTGCATGTCCACCACCGCCTAACTATGGCCGATGAGCTAGCCCCGCTGCTTGCTTTCTTCTTGCATGGTGCTCTACTCAGTAAGCCCTAAGAGGTGTCACTGGCCAGAGCTCGCTGCTGTCCCACGTCACTGGGAGCTCCTCAGGCTTTCAACAGCTCCCAAAAGCTAACGAATGACGTAGCAAATGCAGCGAGCGCAATGGCAAGAAGCAATCTCTTAGCTTTCCCGGTGAAATAAGATGCATCAGGTTTTCATATTCAAATATTTATGGGTTGAAATCTGACCTGGAAATGAGAGCAGTAGAAACTCAACCAGGGCAGTGAGGAGTTGAAGCACTCCCCTACTTTTTGTGATCAAGCCATGATTTGGGCTTCTTATCTTGCCCAGAAAGAGGGCAACACAAAGTCTCTCTCCAGGAAAGAGTTGAGCTCATAGGATAAGCCCCGCTGCCATGCAGAAGCAAGAGACTCTGCACGGTGTCACCCAGCCCAGACAGAGCCAGTGCTGGCTGAGGGGCTCCTATAGCGCTCCTCAAGGATGAGAGAAGACCACCCATTGAGGGAAGACCCCTGGCGGGACGCACTGAGCTGGAACGGTTAGCAGCAGTCTTGGCAGAAGTGAGGAATAATGCAAAAATGTTGGGTTTTCTTCTTCCTTGCAGGTCTGGGTGAGAAGACGGGAGGAACTTCCCCATTAACCTTGCCAGCTCCAGCCAGGAGCTGAAGGTTGGTCTTCTGTGGAAGCCCTTGCCCTGCATGAACGCAAGCTTCGAGGTTGGTAGCTGGGTCACAGGGGGCTGCGGAAAGGGCCAGAAATGCGTTAGCGTGAGGGCTGCTGCTGGCCAAGCATCTTGGTCCGAGCTCGTGGGGTGAAAGCAGGGGTGGGGAGACACCTGTGCACAGTCAGTGGGGCCACACACAACTCCAGGAGAACAGCGAGGACATGGCCTTGCCACAGCCCCGACATCTGAAGGTGGAAGTGCATAAACTGCTTTTATCAAAATGAAGCCGGCTTTGCGCTCGCACCAGAAATTCCCCGACCTCGCGGGTTTTTCTCCATGGGATTAATGAGGTTAGTCAATGAGCGTGATCCGACTTGGGTTTGCTGCTATTCTTGGCTGGGTTTAGATGCCGCGGCACGGGCGGATGTGTGGATTCGCGGCGTGAGGCGGCTTTTGCGGGATAAGCGAGAGCATATTGATAAGCAGCCTTGTCCCCGCTGGGACCTAACCCTGGTAAAGGGTTTAAAGAGGACAAGTATTTTGCTTGCAAAGCATCTCCCAGCAGGATGCTGGTGTGTCAGAGAGGGGCTGTTTTTCTCTGAGGACCCTTCGTGGCCCAGCAGGGTAGGAGAAAAATAGGGCTAGGAGCCCCGTGCTGATGCTCGCCCAGCCCAAGGAAGGAAATTCCGACTTGCTGCCAACAAGGGAGGCTGTTCCTCTGGCAGGATCCCTTTGTTTGAAGATGCAGGAGGCTGAGCCTAGGGATGGACAGGGATGCTCTGGTCCAGCTCTTGGCCCTGCATGAGGCCATGATGACCCTAAAGGCCACGTCCAGCTTCCCAGGAGCCCGATTCCTCTTTGTTCATCGCAATTCACCTCTATTTTCTCTGCAACGATCAACATCTGCTCCTATCCCAAAATGTTTTTGCAGCCTTTAAGTGCCGTGGAAATCAGCTCTGTAGCTGCATCCAAAGGAAGGGAGGGCAGCAAGTCTGGATCCTCTCTCCAGCTTGCCTTTCTTGCTTTCCTATTTTTTAATTAAAATTGGAGCTCATCGCAACCACACGCACAGAAGTGGATCCAGGTTTGGAGCCTTGGGGGTTTTAATGGGAGCTGTTAGAGCCAGGGGGCCTCCCCAGCGCTGAGGATGCGCCGCCTCCTCCCCACAGAGATGGGATCCAGGGGGCTGGGTGAGGGACTAAAGATAGGACGTCCC